CCTTTTGGTTTCGGATTTCGGCCCGATTAGGCGGTCGAGACTACTGGCATTGACCGTTTCGCGGAGTGCGGGTTTTTGAGCGCCAAAACCGGCCCCAAAACCAACGCCGGAAAACCGAGAAAAACGGAATATAACCGGCGGTGGGTAGAAATAGGCCTAGTACAGTCAGGATTCAGTCCAGCTCTAGTTATAGTATGGTTTTCAGGCACCTAGGACCACCCCCCTAAGGGGGGTTCTATACCCCTGTTCTAGAATCGTCATCATGCCCCCTGCCTAGGTTTACCGACTAGACCACGTGCCTGCGTTGGTTCTGAATTACCATTACATAGTATTAGGCCTTCCTATACAGGTTTAGCGTGAGGTCCAAATAACTAGCGTGAGGTCCAAATAACAATTCCCTATAATGAGTTAAGTTAGTATTCAGCAGTCCGCGCGGCCGAGGGATTAAAGCTAAAATAGAGCGGCATAAATGCACCCAGGTATCTATTATCTTAGCTCACAACTTACGTGGTCCATTCGCGGTATGGTATGATGCCAAGGCGTTAGATGGCCAGCCCTTGCCGCCCCTGCAGAAGAAGCCTGACCGTGCATCTTTCTTGGGTGTCAGCATTTTATACTTTCCGACTTGACATTCTCTACAACCTCCATACCTCTGTACATTCTCACTCAAAAGCACATCATTCACGGTAGAGACAGATTCAGACCGATAACGATCCGAGTTTTCACCGCCTCCGGTTATCATCGGCTTCGTGATAGAGGGGCAAAGGCGGTGGGGCCATTGATATGGTAATAAAGCGTTTTCTGCACATAAAAAAATGCGAACAGAAGATAGCGGGGAGGGACCAAGTGCGATCAAAAGGACAGTCTCGTTCGACAATTCGTTGTATGGACCCAGTAGTTAATGGCAATCAATTCCTGTCAGACAGTCTCGGGGGCAAAAGGTCTTCTGGTAGCTCGGATATCGATGGCAACGTTCCGAACATTTGAGTCGGGCCCAAGGAAAAAATCTTTTCTTACGCCCTATGACATTGAACCTTAAAAGAAGCTAAGAGAAGTCACTGGAGGGTATTGAATTCTTCTCTCCTGTATATATCCGTTTCAATCAGTATTTGTATCACGCATTGTCCATAACCTGCGGACTTCAGAGACCTGCCCCGATCTCGCACCTAAGGACATCGCACGAGTGTTCTGTGACTCACACACCACACGGGTTATAACTCCTTTCCCACGCCAGATCTTTATTCCTCAGGTCTTAGTCCAGATACTTGAATCGTACAAACATCCATCATGGGTTCCGTTGCACACCCTGTGGCAGAGCTTGATGCCTCTGTGGTCAAGATCACTCGGTCGACAAATCTCCGCCCGGTTCCTGAACCGGGCTCGCCCGAGGAATTGAGCCATTCGTACTGTACTGACCATATGGTCACTGCCCGGTGGACCGTGGCCAATGGCTGGGAAACCCCTGAGGTGAAGCCCTTTGAGAATCTTAGCATTCCTCCCACAGCATCTTGCTTGCACTATGCCACCGAATGCTTTGAGGGTATGAAAGTGTACAGAGGATATGATGGCAAACTGCGCCTGTTCCGCCCGGATTGCAACGGGGAGAGATTGCTCATGAGTGCTCAAAGAGCCTCTTTGCCTAGCTTCCGGTATGAGGAGCTGAAGGTTCTCATCGCTAAGTTGATGCAGATTGATGGACCCCGTATGTGACCCCGTACTAGTAACTGTTATCTCAGCTAACCCAATTACCTATAGGTTGGCTCCCCAAGGACCAACCTGGTCGTTTCCTCTATCTCCGTCCCACATTGATTGGTAACGGCCCTCATCTGGGTGTCCAGACTCCCAAGGAAGCCCTCCTTTTCATCATCGCCGTACCATGGCCCGACCCATCCAAGTTGAAGAAGCCTGAAGAGGGCACCAAACCCGGATTGAAGCTTCTTGCCTCTACACCCGATACTATCCGTGCCTGGCCAGGTGGTTTCGGCTATGCAAAGCTCGGAGCGAACTACGGCCCCTCGTTGGTTGCGCACGGTAAAGCTCAAGCCATTGGCTTTGATCAGATTCTCTGGTTGTTTGGTCAGGACCGTCAGGTAACCGAGGCCGGTGCTAGTAACTTCTTCATTGTTTGGGAGAACAAGGAAACCGGAAAGATCGAGCTTGTCACCGCACCCCTGGAAAACCAGTTGATTCTTCCCGGTGTTACTCGCCGTAGTGTCCTCCAATTGGCACGCACAGAGCTGTCAAAGCCTGCTGGTTCCCTTGCCCCGGTTGAGGTTGTTGAGCGGGACTTCACTATTAGCGAGGTCGAACAGGCTTGGAAGGAGGGCCGCATCATCGAAGCTTTCGTCTGTGGCACTGCCGTAAGTTACACTACACCAATGATTCTTAGCAAACATATGTTAACAATAGGGCAGTTCTTCGTTACGCCAGTTAAGCTTATCCGGAATGGTGACGTTGATATGGACATGCTGGAAGCTGGTGCAGCTCGTGGAGGATATGCAGCCCAGATCAAGTCTTGGTTGGAGGCCATCATGTACGGTAAGGATGGCAAGGAGAATGACGAATGGTCTTACATCATTGAGGGAGAGAGCGAAAAATAAGGGAGAATCAAAGGGTTTGACGATGGACCTGATGAATACAATAATGAGAGGTGGAGGTGGGGTTGGTTGCATTGTACATACATGATAAATGACCTGCATGTCACGGGGTCAAAGATCCTTGCTTAGATCATAGGTTTATTCCAATTGAGCGCTCTTTTCCTTTATCTTTGCCTTTGATTCAATTTAGCTTTGCCAATATTGAGGGAATCTTTTTTATCAACATATTCCAATATATTTGCACATCCTACAGGGCGTTGCCTTCGCCCAGATCTACCACAACAGGGGCGTACTCTCCCATCTCATCGTCTTCATCATCAGGCATGTCCATTTCAACCTGTTCTCCATCCTCCAGCTGAAGCATGCCTCGCCGTACAAAAGCCCCATGATTGAGCTCCCAATCGTATTCAGTTGTCACCCAAGTTTCCAGTTCCTTAAAATCTTCCTTGACCAAAGTCCCAGCATCCTCGATGACCTCATAGAGTGATGTTCTGAATTTCATAAGCAGCTTTCGTAAAAACTCCCCTCCTTCTTCCCCGTCGAGATCAAAGAACCCTCCTTCAATATCATCGCATCGCCGAAGCTGTATCAAGAGTAACCGTAGCACGTTACTTATGAACTGCTCTCTCTCTTTTATGGCTCTTTGACACGTAAGTATTAAACCCAGCAGCCTCTTCCACTGCTGAAGACACGAGAAATTCATCAACGTCAAGACCATCAAGAAGGTAAACTGTAATTCACCCAGGATCTGTGCCTCCCCAAGCTGCTCATCAACCTCGCTCTTTTCCTGATCTGCATTGGAAACCTGCTGTATGAGATCCCCTAGCGCCCACGACCGGTCCTGGGCAGCCTCTGTCCTTTCACGTCCAATAGCGCCTTCCCTCCAGGTCCTCTTAAGATCAATATGAAGGAAAGAAAACTCGCTCTCTTGCTCCCCAATGACATCCGCTAGTCTACTAGAGTCCTGGCCTGGTTCAGGAATACCGGGTATACTCTCGTTATCCTTCTGCGCTGTGCTCGCTGAAGTAACCATCCATCGAGGCCGACCATCGACATCTATCTCGGGGCTCCCAATAATGCGCTTTAAAAGCCTAGGAGACAGCCGGTTCGTAAGGCCCTCCCAATCTTGTCGACCTTCCTCTTCATTCTCATCATCGTCAACATCCCGCGACTGAGTCCGACCCTCAGATGAGGGCGGTACGCGACTGCGGAAGCGGAATAATCCTCCACTTTGCCAAACAGCAGCCAAGTTCGCCTTGTGGCGCATTGCCTCCTGCTTATCTGCATCATCGCTTGCACGTAGAGGAGCCAGCGTCTCGGTGTCTGTATCCCATTTCCATACGATAACATCGGGTCCCAGACTCCCTCGCGGGGCTGGGATCAGAGCACCATCATTCGTGGATCCGGCTGCGCTGATATCGCCGACGTAAAACCATCCGCCACTTCTCAGCGACAAACTTTCTGTTGCTCCTGTGTAGAGAAAATGCCATCCGGTTGGTAAATCGCGGATTCCATGGAAATTCGGCGTTGATGTGAAGGTAATGAGGTCGATGCCAACCAACGTCTTCGGTGGGAGGTGGGGTACGAGGATGGTGGGGGAGGGGGTCACGGAAGCCATAGGTTAAGTATCGATGGAGCTGCGTGTAATTGTTCCGAATACTTGAAGAGTGAAGTGATCTGGATCGGCAATATATAGCTGTACTGAATCTTGGAGTTGTTCGTACCACATGCGGTGACAGAGCTGTTGCCACTGTGATATGCTCTTCTCAAGCTACGGGGGTGGTTCTCCCTAGGCTTTTTCAGTAAGCAATTCTTCCCCAGGTATCACGCGTAGGGAGTGAGTTAGATCATTTGTTAAGGATTGTAGTTAACTGGTTGAGACACTGGAACAAATTTCACTGCGGAGTTCAAAGAATTCGGCGTTGATCATCGATAAGCTTCCGGAGCTGTCCTTATCTGAATATTTCGTTCTCCCGGCGTTTTATACTACCTAAAGGACATAAAATGTCCGTGCTGGGATATAATAAGGGTATAAATGCTATGTCGCAATTTCTTTAATTGGTCATAGGTTGCTTCAACAAGCTATGAAATATCACTACGAGGTTTTTACAAATGGACAGAACAAACGGTTCCAGTCGAGGTATATTGACGAAACGTAGCTGCTATTTCAGAGACTACTATTGCCCAAAACCAAGTAGAAACTTTTCTGGATATGAAAAAAATTGAAGACCAGGCGATAAAGGCCGTTCTTCGCGTTTATTCCATCCACATCCGCAGGCAGAGTACTCTGCTGATAGCCTCCCATCCAGCCAGGCAAGAAACTTGCACAAGTTGGAGAAGATACGCTCGCACATATCTAGAGACGGCGACCACGGCGACCACCCTTGCGACGAGTAGAGTCGGAGGGAGTGGGGGTGACGTCCTCGATACGGCCGATTCTCATGCCGGAACGGGCAAGAGCACGGAGGGCGGACTGAGCACCGGGACCGGGGGTCTTGGTACCGTTACCTATGGAGGGTTAGCCAACTCGCTCGTCTTCCACGGGAGCTAATATCGCTACATACCACCGGTAGCACGGATCTTGATGTGGAGAGCGTTGATACCGAGCTCCTTGCAACGGGTAGCAACATCCTGAGCAGCCAACATGGCAGCGTAGGGAGAAGACTCGTCACGGTCAGCCTTGACCTTCATACCACCGGTGACACGGCAGATGGTTTCGCGACCACTGTAACCGAAGTATTAGTCCGCTTTCTCTTTGGCATTTCATATTCAATCTCCGGCATATCAATCTTTCACGGGGAAACTCGTATGGACGGAATAAAATCGTAGGAAAAGTAATGCGACGAACCTCAGATCGGTGACGTGGACGAAGGTATCGTTGAAGGAGGCGAAGATACGAGCAACGCCGAAAACGAGCTTGCCTGCAAACCCATTCTAATTAGATATGCGCATATATTATAGGTTTCGAAGTTGTACATACCATCTCCGGCAAGAGGGCCGAGAGTGACGTTCTCCTTAGCGGCAGCGGTCTTCTGCTTGGGGGCCATTGTTGTTGTGCTGGACTGTGGTATGGAATATGGAAAAGAGAAGGAAGGAAAATGGATCCTTCAATTGACTTGGATACGGAAAATGGATGGTGTGTGCCCTACGGTCCCTTTGTTGACGCTGATTGGATGAATGTTAAATCTCAGCGGGGATCAAGCGAGTCGAGGCCTCAGGCACTAATTGTTTTCGGCACCTTACTTGACAGTCAATAGAGGATGTGGGGCAGTCTCGGACAACAGTCGGGCCGACGGAGCGGTGGATTTCCGCTTAAATTCTCTTCTTTCTTGCTGACAGCTCTCATTTTTTTCTTCACACGCACTCCTATGTTTCTCAAAGGAAGCGACCAGTGCAACGAATTGATGTTGGGTTGATTGCTCGGGCTGAAAGATAGTCTGAGTCTACCATATCATAGTGCACAATTGATCTTGGTGTTGCCAGTTCAAGATGGGTTTCACTAAGGAAGATGCCATGATTGGTATCATCGGCATGGGTGACATGGGCAAGATGTATGCCCAGCGCCTGAGCATGGCAGGGTGGAGGTAATATCTCCCAGCTTTTTTTTTTTTTTTTTTTTTTTTTGGGTCGTTGTCAGTGCTCTGCACTGTGTTCTCGTGTAATAGGTAAGACCACCCTTTTCTTTTTCTCTCTCCCAGCAATCTTCGCGCTTCCTGTTTTGAATGATGACTTGAGTGCATTTGGCTCGAGTATGGTCTAGTAGTGCGCTGTATCACCATTCTGGTCTATGGTTGTACTGCTAGACTGTCAATGATGTAAAATCTCAGCTACCTTTATCTTTTTGTCTGATTCAAAGAAATTCCTCATCTACTGTGTTACAAGTTGAACCTTTCATGATCATGGGCTAACTTGTTATGTCAAGGTTATTGCAGTATATCGCTTCTATAGTCCATAGACACGCCTTAGTTACTAACAAGAATATTTTTTAAAGGATAAATGCATGTGACAAGCCTGATAGTTTTGAGAGCCTGAAATCTGAATTTGCTTCTCAAGTACGTCTGTCGATCACAGCTCATGCTGTTCCTAGACTCATCGTATATAGAAAGGTGTCACTATCTATCCGAATGGGCACCTGGTTTCAAGAATAAGCGACTTCATTATATACAGTGTAGAGGCCGGAGTGATCGACAAGGTAGTCGCGGAATATGGCCCATGTATGTCTAGCCAAATTACCACTGCCTATATTCGAGCAGTGTCTGACTTGTTGACACAGCTACCAAGGTCGGTGCGATTGTCGGTGGCCAGACATCTTGCAAAGCTCCAGAGCTGGCCGCGTTCGAGAAGCATCTCCCTTCAGATGTAGAGATTGTATCCTGCCATTCACTCCATGGCCCTAACGTCAACCCGAGAGCTCAACCACTGGTATGACATGCAGATCGCGACCAGCTCGTACCAATGATAACGTATTAGTTCAGGTCTTGATACAGCACCGCGCATCGGACGAGAGTCTCCGATTCGTCGAAAATGTCCTGTCGTGCTTCGAATCCAAGTTTGTCTATCTCACTGGCGAGATGCACGACCGAATCACTGCAGATACACAAGCTGTTACACATGCGGCTTTCCTGAGCATGGGCACCGCATGGCAGGCGAATAAACAGTTTCCATGGGAGATATCTCGCTGGGTAGGAGGAATCGAAAACGTGAAGATCAATATCACTTTGCGCATCTACTCCAACAAATGGCACGTCTATGCTGGCTTGGCCATTCTCAATCCAAGCGCGAAGAAACAGATCAGACAGTATGCTGAATCAGTGACGGACCTCTACAAGCTGATGATCGAGGGTCGCCGAGAGGAGCTTAAGCAGCGTGTCAAGGCAGCAGGCGCAGCCGTCTTTAGAGCAGGCACGGAGGGACAAGACCTGTTGCTAAAAGACGAGGTTCTTGACCGGTTCTCGCTCTCAAAGGGACCTCGTGAGGCGTCGCCTCCTAACAGTCACCTTAGTTTGCTCGCAATCGTGGATTGTTGGTCAAAGCTTGGAATTGTCCCTTATGACCATATGATTTGCTCTACGCCTGTGAGTACCAATATATATCATTCGATGCATGCATGGATAATTCGCTGACCGCTGCAATACTTATGTAGCTCTTCCGTCTTTGGCTGGGAGTCACAGAGTACCTCTTCCGTAATCCCGATCTGCTTGAGGAGGCATTGGATACTGCCGTTGATGATAAGACATTCCGCTCTGACGATTTGGAATTTACATTTGCGGCTCGGGTAAGTGACGTTTAGTCGCCTTTGCGCCACGGCGCAATGCTCGATCTTTTCTATCATGTAATATACATGCTTTCCCTTACAAAGTACTGACATGATTGTGAATAATACAGGCATGGTCGGATTGTGTTTCCTTTGGCGATTTCGAATCCTACCGCGATCGGTTTGAGCGTATCCAGGGATACTTCGCTCCTCGTTTCCCCGATGCCGTCACGCTGGGCAATGAAATGATGAAGACTATCCTTGAGAAGACGAAGAGCAACTAAACCTGGAGAGGGAAAGATAACGACAAAATGATTATGATACAAAGGCAGCCAAGGGCGGGAAAGGGCCGAATGAGAATCATCACGAGATCAACATTCTAGGCCTAGGACGAAGGCATAATTCCGGGACTTTTACTCTCACATATTGCTGAGCTTGTCAAGATACAACAATTGGCAACTATCTATATGATACTGGAATGCAAGTAAAAATTTACGCATTTCCAACAAATGTTTGTATTGCAAATTCTCTTATCAGGTAGCGTATACCCCATAGATGCGCGGCCCATATTCAAGAGTATTATTCATCATCATCTTGAGCTTGATGTCCTACAATAACTGGTAAAACAAGACATCAAGTTGCATTTTAAACATTCAATGTATGCCTAACACTCGCGATAACTCCAATTCACGTGCTTTGACGAGTGACACCAAACTGCCATCAGGAAATCCTACCCTTACACATCCACAACCTCCGAGGCTACAAGAAAAATACCAAAGCAGTCAATTCCAGCAACAACAGGGACCCCTTCTTTAAAATTGCAAACACTTTTACCCCTCCAAGCACGCCATCACAGATATCCATATGGTCAGTTTAGAGATGGCACTTATGCTGCTTCTTGCAAGTATCTGGCGCAACCACAGAAGTGGTAATACAATGGAGCATCTCACACCCAAGCTGTGTTACCTCAACATGCAAACGTGACTCGAGTGTCTAGTGCTGAGTTGTCGTCGGAGGATATCAGAGCCGCTGGTGAAGCACCTGCTATTGGTGCTGGAAGAGAGTCAGATCCTGGCAACCTTGTAAATGGGTACAGGTAGATGGGTAATACCAGGTCTAACTCCCTTAAAAAGTTCTCGATGTATGAGGCCGCTGTTAGGGCTTTTGTCGGTGTGAGAAGCACTGCGCGACAACTGCGGTGTATGATGTAAGAACTCATCTCAATATTCGTTCCACAGGGAGGTGGCACTGTATACTATTTGAAATTACAATAATCATTGGCAATCTGTTTTTATCATCAATAGAGCATAGGCAAAGCTAGGAATCGATAGAGGCAAGCAAATTATACCCCCCCTCCCCCATTTTTTGGGAGGGAAGTAGTTGCAAGGAATCTTGTGCTCAATATACGATATATTTTATACTTGCTAGCCTTATACGTGTGTTTGTCTAACGTAATGTCCTCGCTAAAACCTGTGCAATGGGCATACTTTTTGGAATCATAGGCTGTCTGTTGTGGTAATCTATGAAGTTACACTCTGGTATTGAAGACGGTGTATGTCAGCCTAGTCTATCAATTCAATGATTATTACATCCAAATGGCGCTAGTGCAAGTCAAGAGAATATGTAATTATTTTGTGTTCTCCCTGGCCTGGTAGATGGTTTGGTAGCTAGGGTAATACAAGAAATATTTGTGAGTAACTCTATAGATATCTCGGGTCTAAACCAGGAATGTGCTTATGGCATCACCTCAGGCTGAGACTATGAATCGGATATCGCTGAAGTAAATCTCTAAGTAAATAGCGACCTATACCAAGCTTTTCGTCCATTGACAAAATATAGAATTGCACTTTGGCAACCAAGGCACCTCAAGGGAAACGGCATATCTGACGCCGCACTTACTATTATACATAAGAGTTCTCTATACATAACCCGAGTAACGAGTCAACAGAGATTTTGATCATGTTTACCAAACTCTGATGTGTTTCTTGTATTCCCGTACAAGGCCAGGGTCTTTAATTAGCAGGGGTGGGATTATGTATGATTTCAGGGATTGTTCTTAGCCGCACTCTGATATGTGTGAGTGAGCTCTAGGTATTTTTGAATATTAAACAAGAATTTTAAAAGAGCCGTTGTCCTATGATGATTCGGAGCGAATGGTGGACCATTGAGGCACATTCCTGCGGCTCAGTGAATTGAAGCAAACATCATCACATGTTAAAAAAGCGACATATAAACACTTCATAAAATGAGATCAATGGAATTGCCCCGCACCCGAGGGTGGTGTGGTGTACTTCCCAGTCACTATTTCCCTGTCAATGGTAACAATGTCTCTATGCGCTATTATGTACAGTGGTTTAGGTCGTCTACAGAGTACATTCCTCCTCTTTCCCAAAATGGGGAGGGAAGGCAAAAGCAGACATTAATAAAATGACATAAAGTCGGAAGCAGGCAGAATAGAATCACATAAGCATCAGAGTACTCTGATAGAGGTGTAAGGGAGCAAGAAGTAAAAAAAATAATAATAATATAGCAACGGATACTCATAGGTGGCGTGAATTAGACGCACATGAATGGTTCAATAGCCTCTAGAGACATATCACCGTCGCACTGCAATGCGCTAAGGGCTCTAGTTTGGGCATTTCCAAACAAACCCTCTACTCTAGCAAAGGTTCTATTTTAGTCAGCACCCCAGTCCTTGCAGCGTGCTATGCATGGCTCCTTCCAAATGGGTCTATAGAGTACAACAGGGGCGGGGAGGACAGATGAACCAGGATTAGATCCTCTTTAGCCCTAGCCCCTCAAAAGCGAGGTAAGTTTTCTATACAGCACACAGAGTGATCTCTCAGCTGAGAAGGAACTCTTCTCTGCCTTTTATCATTTCTGAACTGGACGATCTACTAGGGTTTGATGGAGGCCCGGGCCGCTACCTTATTTCATTTCTCCGAACCAATAAAAATAGCGTAACGGCCGACTCTACCCACTCCAACATAGATATAGTTACATTGTTACTAGTACGGATTAACATAGATCATTTGGTTTGGAAGCCTAAGAGCGCATCATGCTGGAAGAAGACCAGCCATGCCCTTCACGTCTATGGAGCGTTCATGATAAGTTTTAAGGCCAGCGACTACGTGGTCCATTCATGGTGTTCTCGCCAGTTTGGTGTCCAGTCACATACTGGCACGTGGTAACGTTCGAAGATATCCCCTTGACGGTTAGGTTGATGACAACTGTTCTGTTTCCTCCCTTGGTGAACTTGGCAATATATGAATACGGCTGAGACCGCTTGGCTGCCTTCTCTAGTTATGCGGTAGCTCTCACTGGTAGTGTATGCTAATGTAACATAACTGTTGCCGTCCTGGCACGCGCCCGTTTTCATAGTCGTCCTCTAGCCTGAGGTCGTCAAAATAGTCTCCACCAACTGTTGAGCCACAATGTAAATTTTGGGGTTGCACTTAAGGCAGCACGATGAGGCTCAGCTAGCTTTCTTTCTTTTTCTTTTTCTTTTTCTTTTTCTTTTTCTTTTTCTTTTTCTTTTTATTTTTCTTTTTCTTTTTTTTTTTCCTCTTTTCGCAATATCATCTGATATGCAGCTGGGATGGCTATAGCAAGCAACTTGATGCGAATAGCACACAGATCCTGGCTTTTGATAGGTGAGAGTGGGTTGTTTCTAGCCTCGAGGGTCTCTAAATTCACGGCTGGCTTTATTTACACAGGGACGTAAGTTGCCAGGGTCAGTTTAGTATTGAATATGTCCCTGCTATAGTAGTGTATACCCCCTACCAACTTGGAGCCAATTTTAGTGTACCAAAAATCGGATTAGGCCATCACTATCGAGTCATGCTTCCCCTTAATTCTTAGATTATCGGAGTAAGTGAACGTTGATGAAGTAATTCCCTGTAATGTGCCCCCGCACGACTGATTTTGCGCTTTGAGATCCTATGAATGAGCTATTTATGTCTTTTGTAGAGTGTAGGCTTGTGCTTTTTAATTTCATTGCATTTCTCTCATGTGTATATACATCGACTTCATTTGAGAGATCCCGTTCAGTTTCGGAGCTAGCAGTGGCAATGCTTTATTCTTTGTCTGTCTTTCTGGCATTTGCCTTGATGTTAAGTTGGTCGCCGGTTGACTCAATATGAGCATTGACTGATCTCTACCAGTTCCCTCAACATGGGGCCGTATCATCACTTACATCCCCTCTAAAGGAGATGGGGTATCATACAGATTTAACGTACCTGAGAATACAGCATCTAATAGCAACGGTACCATCTATCTTCAGTTGAGCGCGCCGTCTCATACAAAATGGATAGCACTGGGCCAGGGCGAGCGAATGGCAGGGGGGAGCATCTTTCTCATCTACGCTTCGCCTGATGGCAGTGTTACACTCTCCCCACGCAAGGCATTTGGTCATCTTGACGTCTTTCATGACCCCAATATACAGGCTCACCTTCTTGAAGGCTCTGGAGTCCATGACGGTGTGATGACAGCAAACATCCGTTGTGATAACTGCATGCACCTAGATAATGGGGATAGCATAATGGGAAGCTCTAGCTCTTGGGGTTGGGCTATGTGCCATGGATATCCATTGGTGTCCTCGGATGTTGCTTTGAGGATTCATAAGCACGATGTTCACGGTAGCTTCACCCTGAACTTGAGCGCAGCCATTGGTGGCAATTCATCGAATCCATTTCTCGACTTGACATACCCGCATCACGATGTCACCCCTTTCTCGAAACAGCATGTGATTGATGATGCTTTGCTTTACAGGAAACGTGTTGCACATGGCGTGATGACGCCAATCGCCTTCGTGCTGATGATCCCTGGTCTTGGGCTTCTCTTGCACATATACCCATCTCGCCACACTGTTCTGTGGATGCATGCTCCCATGCAACTTATTGCAGCGTGTGTAGCATTGATTGGACTTGGATTTGGAGTCTCCATATCTAAGGATCTTAAACTGTCCAAAGGCTACCACCCCACTATAGGTTATGTTTTGGTCGGCGTCGTCGTTGTTATCCAACCTATCTTAGGAGCTGTGCAGCATCTGCATTATCGAAGATCAGGAGGAGCCACCATCTACGGTGTCTTACACCGCTGGTTTGGGCGCCTAATATCGGCCATTGGCATCGTTAATGGTGGACTAGGGTTTTACTACGCGTATCAGCATACGGAGGATATTCCACCAATCCCACCGATAATATACGGCATGGTCTGCGGAGGAGTATGCATCTTGTATGTTTTCGTGGTCATGTGGCGTAGGGAGAAGACGAGATCGCAAGCTGTTATCACTGAGTTTCAGACTGGGTTCTTCCAGAAGAGGAGTGGTTTGGAGCAAGACAGTGACAAGCTTGACAGTGCGCGATCAAAATTTGTTGAACCTAGCAGTATCTCTGAGAAGTGTTGACTTTCATGATCACGCAAGATGGCCTTGTTGCTATGGTGACTTTGATATTACTAGGAAACATGTTTATCTCCTGATAGATTCAGGATCCTCCTATACTTTATCTCTGTTGGTCACCTACTTGTCTTGATGTTCTGCCGAAATGATGAGCTGGACATCCTTAGATGCAAC